TTTTTTTTGTTATAATAAACGTCATAATGTAGATATTTTAGGGTTAATCGCTTAATTTATATTTTAAGCATGATTTATATTTTAAGCATGTAAATAAATATTAATAAAGGGGATTCAATATTTAATTTATTAATTCTTATAATATTAACTTCATCATAGGGTACCAATTGAGGGCGCTGTAGGGGTGCTTAATACCTTCCCTACACGTAACCGACCCCCGAACCCAATTCTGGTTATCAAGGCCATAGTTGGATCTTTAAAAAAACCTTTTCTTTTTCCAATGTTTTGAGTAAAATATTGGTGGCGACTCCATGAACCTATTTTCAAAAACCATTAATTAAGAATTAGTCTGGTGTCCGGGCATTCCTTAATTAATGAGACTTTTAAAAGGATGTCTAAACCATAAGTCGTAAGATCGGAAATTTTCAGGTTGCGACTAGTGCCTCACAAATACAAAGGCAAAAATAAGCTTATAGTACCTTGGGCTTAGAAAGCCCATTGGTCTTCAAGATGTCTAACTCTTCTTGTATGCTCCTGGCCATAGCTATAGTGATTGGGCCCTTGGCCCATGGTGTATCACTCTTTTGCAAGTACCCACCCCATCTCGGAGTAGCTGATGTACCGAGTAGAGGAGGCTCACCGATCTTGTCAGCAGATCGCCCTCTTGACCGATCTCGGGTAAGAACACTTAACATAACAATAATGATCTTCTTCACATTTGTGAAATCCTGAGTTGCTCATAAATTCATTATACTTTTTGTACCATTGTCTTGACGCTTGTTTCGAGCCATATAAGCTTTTATAAAGTTTTCATACAAGATTCTCCTTCCCTTGTACTTCAAAACCTTCTGGCTATGTCATTAAGTTGTCTTCTTAGAAATCACCCTGTTTTTAACATCTAATTGCTCCAAATGAAGATTCTCTACAGCTACAATACTTAAGATAACTCTTATGGTAGTCATCTTAACAATAGGAGAAAAAATCTCTATGAAGTCAATTCCCTATTTTTGCTAAAATCCTTTCACTACGAGTCTCGCCTTGTATCTTCTACTGCCATTAGGTTCTTCCTTTAACCTGTAGACCCACTTACTCTACAAAGCTTTCTTCCCTTCTAGTAGTTTAGTTAAAGACCAAGTTCCGTTCTTCTAAAGGGATTTCATCTCATCTTTCATTGCTAGCTCCCACTTAATGGAGTCATTCCTTTGCATAGCCTCAGCAAAATATTTTGGCTCACCAACATCAGTTAATAACAAGTAATTTAATGAAGGGGAATACTTTTGTGGTACTGCTATTATTCTACTAGATCTTCTTAGTTGGGTCTTGAGATTTGTGGTACTATTATTGGTTTAGTTCTGAATGAACCTCCATTTCTATATTTTGTCTTATGTTTGCAAAATCACTTTAAAAAAATTCTTCTAATGCTACTTTCTCATAAAGCTATGGTTGTTTCTTGCATACACAGATTCTATAGAGTTTTCTTTATAGAACTCACTTTCATTAAAAGTGAGATTTCTACTTCTGATTATGTTCCTATTTTGGTCATCCCAAAACCTGTAGCCATACATGTCAAATCCATAACCAATAAAATAACATCTTTTTTTGCCTTAAGGTCCAACTTATCCCTGCTATCAGAGTTTATCATAACATATATGAGACATAACCCAGAGCTCTTAGATGTGAAAGATTTACCTCCTTTCCAGACCATAGTTCTTTAGGTAGCTAATAATCCAAAGGATCTGATGGTCTTCTATTTATGAACAAGAAAAAGAAATTTGATTAAATAATTTAAAATTATTTCCAAGAAGAGAATTCTAAATAAATTATATATAAATTATACATGAAACACAAATTAAGTCAAATAAATTATAAATTATTCTCAATAAGAGAAGTCTAAATAAATTCCGTAAGTTATGCAAGAAACAGAAATTTAATTAAATAAATTACAAGATATTATCAAGAAGTAAATTCTAAATAAATTATATAAACTATGCATGAAAAAGAAAATTAATTAAATAAATTATAAAATATTCTAACAAAGAGAATTTCAAATAAATTACAAATCCTGTGACGATAAATAAATTATTAATTATTCTCAAGAATAAATAAATTATATAAATTATGCAAGAAAGAGAAATGAAATTAAATAAATTATAAATTGCTCTCGAGAAAAGATTTCTAAATAAATTATAAATTATTAAGAAATAGAAATTTAACTAAACAATTTATAAATTATTCTCAAGAAGAGAATTCTAAATAAATTATAAAATATTCTCAAGAAGAGATTTCTAATTAAATTATATAAATTATGCAAGAAAAAGAAATGAAATTAAATAAATTATAAATTATTCTCGAGGAGAGAACTCTAAATAAATTATAAATTTTGCAAGAAATATAAATTTAAATAAAAATTTATAAATTATTCTGAAGTAGATAATTCTAAATAAATTATATAAATTATGCAAGAAAAAGGAATGGAATTAAATAAATTCTAAAGTATTCTCAAGAAGAGAATTTTAAATAAATTATATAAATGGTGCAAAAAATTGAAATTTTATTAAATAAATTATAAATTATTCTCAAGAAGAGAATTTTAAATAAATTATATAAATTATGCAAGAAACAGAAAAAGAATTAAATAAGTTATAAATTATTCTCAAGAAGAGATTTTTAAATAAATTATAAATTATGAACGAAAAGAAATTTAATTAAAGAATTTTAAATTATTCTCAAGAAGAAAATTCTACATAAATTATATAAATTATGCATGAAACAGAAATTGAGTCTAATAAATTATAAATTATTCTCGATAAAAGAACTCTAAATAAATTATATAAGTTATGCAACAAACAGAAATTTAACTAAATAAATTACAAAATATTATCAAGATGTGAATTCTAAATAAATTATATAAACTATCACTACTAGAATTTTCTTTATTAGTTTAGGATTTTCTTGCAAATTTTTCTTAAAAATTCGCAGATAAATTATAAATTATTCTCTATAAAATAACTCTAAATAAATTATATAAACTATCACTACTAGAATTTTCTTTATTAGTTTAGGATTTTCTTGCAAATTTTTCTTAAAAATTCGCAGGAAACAAGTTACTTGGGAAATTTTCTGCAAATTAAAATTTGCAGGTAAAATCTTCGTGGATAACTCATTTTACATGGATTCAAAAATTTGTAAGAAATTTTTTGCAAATAATTTTTGCATGAAAATAATAAATTTTTACACGAAATTTTGGTAAGAAAAATTATGTTTTAAATATTTCCTGCAAATTTTGCAGCGAAAAAATCTGCAGGTAACCTTTCTTATGAAAAAAATTCCAGAAAAATGGGTAGATACTTTTCTATAAACTTTAAATTTGTAGCAAAATTTTCTACGAATTTTAAAACCGCAAGAAAAACCACGGAAAAATTACCTGCCAATTTTAAAA